CTCCTGTGATCAATCACAAATTAAATTATTTATATTGGATTCAATTGTGATGGATATAATCCCTCACCAATTTTAATTTGTGTAACATTAACGGTCTCTGCTGTTCATCGAACATGACTGTGAACCATACCCTTCGTTTCACTTCGGTGAAACTCTGTTCCTAGTACCCTTCGTTTCACTCCCGTGAAACACCGTTCCTGGTATACGTACCGGTATGTGATACAAATACGTAACTGCGTTATGTAATCCCTTTATATAGGATAAAGACGGGTTTACTAATTTCCTCCACCATTTCAAATTGGTTCTACTAATTATTCACATATCGGAGTATCTATGTTATTAATCAATTTTATGCTGAAATAGAGCGGGAAATTAGTAACTCGATAATAAAGACAAACTAACGCTAACTCAATGAAGGTAGGCCAAAATTATAAATAATCTATAAGTTTTGGTGCATTATTTCTGTGCAAAGAGTCTGATGAATCAAAATTTCCAGCATTTCATTAAGGTTTATAATTATTTATTTTCAATAAGCTACTAGATTATGCATGATTTCTATATAAGGATATAGAGGTTTTTAGACTTCCCACACCGTATGCACATATCCACAATAAACTTGATAAGTCCATATATATTCTTTCATTGCGTCAAACTGTTAATTGTAAAACAGTCTGAAAAAAATCAATAATTCATTAGACGTTGCTAAAATATCCAACCAAGTTAATCAACTCTGTATTTAGAAGATATGTCTCAGGATTGTCTTGATGAAGTTATTAAAGAAATGTATAATTTATATAATAAAGAAAAATTGTATGCCAAAAATTACAAATCAACTCTTAACACCGTAGAACAATTTCTAGTAAAAAAAAGGCAAAATCCGAATAATATTGTCAAATATTGTTTAGATAATCAATTTGATTCTATGATACAATTCATTCTTGCGATTTGTTATCGTAATGGAAAATGGGTTGAAAAGGATTTACATAAGGCATTTATTTATTTTCAAAAATCTGCAGAGTTAGGGGATGCTAACGGAATGTGTGAAGTTGGAAATTGTTATTTTTATGGAATTGGAGTTGTAAAGGACGAACAAAAGGCCTTCGAATATTATTTAAAAAGTGCCGAATATGGATGTAGTTGTGGAATGCATCAAGTTGCTTTGTGTTATGAGAAAGGGATTGGTGTAGAAAAGAACGAAGATTTAGCTTTTAAATGGTACCTTGAATCTGCAATTACTGAGCATGAATGTAATCGTCATAAATATTTCCATTGGATAAAATACGATGATTTTAGAAATATTGAAGAAGTAGGTAAAGGAGGATTTTCCGTAGTATATAAAACATCATATAAAATATCCTCTGGAACATATAAAGTTGCTGCAATCAAGATAATAAAAGATTCGCATAACAATAAAAAATTTATTTTTAACGAGGTATTTTTTTTTTTTTACACGTAAATTTATTTATTTATGAATTTTATGAATTAATCGTAATTTGTTTATTTTTCCCAGCTTAAGGCGTATCACAAATTAGATAAATACTATGGCATATCAATGGATAAAAATACTGGAGATTTTATTTTAGTGTTAAATTACGCAAAACTTGGATCATTACGTGAAAATCTTAAAAAAATATTTAAATTAGAATGGAAAATTAAACTAAGTTTATTATGCGATATCGTTAATGATTTATCAAACATTCATTCTAAAAACTTTATACATCGAAATTTACATTCTGGCAATATTTTACTAAAAGATGGATTTGAAGCTTATATTGATTTAGGTTCATCAGTATCGGTTGATGTAAAACAGGATGATCATATTTATGGAGTATTGCCATATTTTGCTCCTGAGGTCTTGAAAGGTGAACAGTTCACTCAAGCCGCTGATATTTACAGTTTTGGAATTATTATGATAGAAATATTAACTGGTCGAAGACCTTTCGATGGTTATAATTTTGATGCGGAATTAGCAGCGATGATTTGTCATGGATTACGACCAGAGTTTTTTATAAAGTCACCAAAATATTATATTAAATTAGCCAAACAATGTATCAATTCAGATATCACTAAAAGACCTACGGCTGTTGAAATTATTGATAAGCTTGAAAAATGGAAAAACATTATAGTCGTCAAGGGTAGTAATGCTAAATCAGATAAGAAAAAAAGATTTAAGGCTGTTGGGATTTTTAATAAGCTTAAAGAATGGAAAAAAATTATAGTCGTCAATGATAGTAACGTTAAATTAGACAAACAATGTATTGATTCAGATGAAGAGGTCAAACAGCAATTTTTAGAGGCTGATAAATCAATCAAAGAATTGCAAATTGCCTCGCAAAAACATGATAATATGATGTATACTTCTAAACTTATTAATACGAGAGAAATCGTTTCAGAGGTTGAAAATTTTAGAATAAATCAATAATTTTAACAAAATAATGAGGTCCATATTGATGATATTGATAGTAATTTACTTTTTATAAACATGCTTAAAGGATATGTTTTATACTGTGAGTGTATGTCTTATTTATTTATAAAAAAAAAAAATTTTAAGGCCATTTAATATCTTGTTTTCATAGCATGAACTTTTAAACAGACTCGGTCGGCTTTTTTTTTTTTTTTTTTTGCAGTTGTTTTCATAAATTTTGGAACACTTTACAATTATTATCATAATTTCTGGAATGCCTGATAAAAATTAGTTGATGATTCTTCAGCCGATTCGATCAAGTGTAATTTCGGTATAATGGTATAATAGATTTAAGTTTTATTTGTTATTTAAGGGGTGCAGAAGTTTAGTACTGTATTGTTAGGAAAATTCGTACTGTATTTTGTTTTTATAATTACCGTACAGTACTGTACGCTTCATATATGCAAGAGGTATACAACACTGTACTCCTTAAATTATTGTACACTTTAAATTTATCTTACCCTTATTTAAAGTATTTTATAGCGTAGATAAAAATATCATATAATCAAAAAATTACACACCACTCTGAATATATTGTAACTATTATTCGGGAGAGGTTTTAGAAATAGCCGATTTGTCGCTTAATAGTTACTGGGGAATATGCAGAATAGGACAATACTATTCAACAAGGGCAGCGCAGTAACACTTTTAGTGGTAATACGAATAACAGGTCACGTGAACAAGATGTATAAGCGAAATGTAGAAGTTTATAGATTGAGAAAGATTTTCGATTTATTTTATTATAAAGGTCTCTTCAGCACAACACTGCTTACTTCCTTTTTCTTTTTATAAGCAAATCGAGGGAATCTTCATTTTTATTAATCTCAAAAATAGTGCTTATATACTTTTTGGTTAATTATGTTTGTCGTACATGTGTTATTTATTAACGCGCTACATGTTAGCGTGCTACACGTTAATGTGCTATAGAATTTTAGCCCATTATATTAACTTTAACTTTTTAGATTAATTAAATTTTACCTGGTAGCGTGCTACACGTTAACGTGCTACACGTTAACGGTTATGTACAGATATAGTTATAAGATAGTTATTCACTAAATAACGGGTATATACAAGTTCCCTCCATGATACTGACCAATATTTAATGAATTATACAAAATAAGAAAGAGAATTTATGTATACTATTTAGGAAAGATGATCTATTTACAAATAAGGAATAAAAGAAAATTCGAATTCTTTAATGTCACAAATTATAATTTGTGACATACGCCTCCGCCTGTGCTTGAGCTCCTAATAAATCGTTAGTTGAATAGAGTAACTCTTCGATTTCTTGTTCTCGTATACTGGTAGCTTCTTTAAGCAGCGTTGTAAAGTCTTCATCATACATTCGTAATAGAGCAAAGGGAGTAATGTACTGAGATTGGAAAAGATTATCAAGTCCTCGAATGGAATAAAGTTGGTAGGTACAGTACGATGGGTGATTTTCCAAATTTCAAGATACTTTCGAGGAGTAAATAGTTTACGGATTTCATTGCGGGCAGTATTATTCCACAATTGGTGTTCCAATAAGATTCCTAAAGAGTAATGATAACTTAACCGAGTAACGGAATCAAGAGAGGAAAGTAAAATATGGCTACATAAATTTTTGACTTGATCATGCCAATTATCTCCTTCAATTTCAGGTAATGTGCGAAAAGTGACCTCCCTTCGTCTTAAGTCTTCAATAAATAGGGTCAATTTTAAATGAAGTTTTTGCACGTCACTATTATGAGAAGCGATAGAAATATCTAGTTCATTCTTTTCAATTCCGATGCCATATTCAACGCTGTTTTGATTAATGATAAAGTCGCCGTTAATATTCGCTAATCTTAATTGTTGTTGGAGAAGGGCGGTGGTTTTCTTTATATGTCCCGAGAAAGTATTCAATTCCATAATGAATTAGAGAACTCTGATTTTTGTATATGACATTTATCTAAAATTTAATTGTTATATTTGTATAAAACAGGCTGGTTTGTCACTCGCGGATGGTATAATTTTAACCGGTTTCCATGAATTGTCTTTTTGAGAACTTCGCCCTTAGTTATAGTTCTTAATTTATAAGTTCCATTACCTAAAATATTATGAATATAATAGGGACCTTGGCATTGAAGTTCTAATTTAGCGCTCTTCGAATTTTGTAAGTCAGACTGATGAACCAATACCTGATCACCTATTTCGTACGATTCTAATTTGTGATTTTTATCGTAATAAAATTTTTGTCGAGATTGAGCTTTCCTAATTTTATTTTTGGCTAACATGCGTGCTTCAACCAAGGGTCCTAATAATATTTCCATCCTTCGTAAAATTTGACTTTGTAACTCTTCTTCATTAACGGCCTTAGGGAATAGTTTTTTAATGTTGACTTCCCAAAGAATTACAGCGTTTCTTCTATAAGTTAAATAGAAAGGCTCACATTTAGTAGTATTATGCTTATTAGTTCGATAAGCAAAAAGGGCTGGCGGTATAAAATTGTCCCATTCATCTTTAAACTGGTTTACACATTTACAAAGTACTCCGCATAAGGTTTTGTTGAACCTTTCAACTAAGCCGTTAGTTTGAGGGTGGTAAGGAGTAGATGTACTATGATGAACAGTGAGCTTACTACAAAGAGCATCTATTACTTTGTTACAAAAATGAGTGCCTTGATCAGTTAATAAAACTTTAGGGGCACCGTGATGGCATATGATGTTTTCGAAAAGGAATGTTGCAACGGATTCAGCATCAGCCTTATCGAGAGCTTTGGCCTCTGGCCATTTTGTTAAGTACTCAGTAGCAACAATAATATATTTATTACCCTTAGAAGTTGCAGAAAGGGGACCAACAATATCAATTCCATAATGAATTAGAGAACTCTGATTTTTGTATATGACATTTATCTAAAATTTAATTGTTATATTTGTATAAAACAGGCTGGTTTGTCACTCGCGGATGGTATAATTTTAACCGGTTTCCATGAATTGTCTTTTTGAGAACTTCGCCCTTAGTTATAGTTCTTAATTTATAAGTTCCATTACCTAAAATATTATGAATATAATAGGGACCTTGGCATTGAAGTTCTAATTTAGCGCTCTTCGAATTTTGTAAGTCAGACTGATGAACCAATACCTGATCACCTATTTCGTACGATTCTAATTTGTGATTTTTATCGTAATAAAATTTTTGTCGAGATTGAGCTTTCCTAATTTTATTTTTGGCTAACATGCGTGCTTCAACCAAGGGTCCTAATAATATTTCCATCCTTCGTAAAATTTGACTTTGTAACTCTTCTTCATTAACGGCCTTAGGGAATAGTTTTTTAATGTTGACTTCCCAAAGAATTACAGCGTTTCTTCTATAAGTTAAATAGAAAGGCTCACATTTAGTAGTATTATGCTTATTAGTTCGATAAGCAAAAAGGGCTGGCGGTATAAAATTGTCCCATTCATCTTTAAACTGGTTTACACATTTACAAAGTACTCCGCATAAGGTTTTGTTGAACCTTTCAACTAAGCCGTTAGTTTGAGGGTGGTAAGGAGTAGATGTACTATGATGAACAGTGAGCTTACTACAAAGAGCATCTATTACTTTGTTACAAAAATGAGTGCCTTGATCAGTTAATAAAACTTTAGGGGCACCGTGATGGCATATGATGTTTTCGAAAAGGAATGTTGCAACGGATTCAGCATCAGCCTTATCGAGAGCTTTGGCCTCTGGCCATTTTGTTAAGTACTCAGTAGCAACAATAATATATTTATTACCCTTAGAAGTTGCAGAAAGGGGACCAACAATATCAATTCCAATTTTATCGAAGGGCTTTCCTATAGCGATATGATGCATAGGTTCTCGAGTTATCAGTCTATTTTTTCGTTGACATATGTCACATGACTTGATATATGACTTAATGTCATTTCCCATTTGTGGCCAGAAATAGCAGGCTGCAATTCGTTGATAGGTTGAGTAGAAATTGAAATGCCCTGATAATGGATGCATGCTAAATAATACTGCTTCGATTTCGTTATGTTTTAAAACTCGAAAAGGGCAGAAAGGGTCGTGACGATTCTTCTTGAATAGGAGCCCGTCTTGAACTAAATAATGTCGGGTTTGATGCTTAAGGATTTTTATTTGTTTTTCTGTATAACCGGAAGGGACCATACTGTCATTGAGATATCTCAAATAAAGATAATACATGTTTAAATCTATAGTTCAGTAATTACAGTCAATATGAGTAAATGAGTTCTTCTCTTTTTTTTTTTTAAGGAAATGCCAGGATACCGTGACCTGGACTGGATTAACGGATTTAAAGTTTTTTTTTTTTTTATGTGGTTGTCCAAATATTTGCTTTTAATATTTCAAATTCAAGATAAACTGTTGGCATTTGTGTGATATTTTCCAGATTTATAAGCGATGTCGAAATCATATTCTGTTAAAGTCATAATCCATCTTGCCAAGCGACCCCGCGGCTCATTTAAGGATAATAAAAATTTTAAAGCCATATGATCAGTCACTAAGGTGAAAAGAGTTCCGTGCAGATATTGTCTGAAGTATCTGATAGCCCAGACAGCCGCAAGACATTCCTTTTCGGTAGTGGTATAATTTTTTTCCGCTGATGATAATCTACGACTAGCATAAGAAATAATACACTCTTGTTTTTCATTATCTATTTGAGATAAAATAGCATCTAAAGCCACATTAGACATATCTGTGAACAAAATAAAAGGCTTGTCGAAGTCAGGGTAAGTCAAAATAGGGGCTTCAATTAATTTTGACTTTAATAACTCAAAGGCTTTTTGTTCTCGGATGGTCCACTTATAGGAAACTCTCTTTTTTAACAAGTTATTTAAAGGGGCTGCTATTCGAGTAAAATCAGAAATAAATTTGCGATAATAAGATGTCAGACCAAGGAACCCTCGCAGTTGTCGTAAATTTTGTGGAGCGGAAAAGTTTTTTACCGCAACCACTTTCTTGGGATCAGTACCGATGCCCTTATAACTTACAATATGCCCCAAAACCTTTATTTCTTGTTGGAAAAATAGCATTTAATCAGTTTTAATTTTAATCCCGCTAAACTCAATCTGTGGAAAACCTTACTGATATGACTAAAGTGTTCTTGAATAGTCTTAGAATAAATAACAATGTCATCAATATAAATAATAACAAATGCGCCCAAAATATCCTGAAAGACGTTGTCCATCAATCATTGAAACGTTGCTAGTGCATTTGTAAGGCCGAAAGGCATTACGTTGAATTCAAATAACCCAAACGGGGTGGTGAAAGCAGTTTTAGGACAATCAATAGGGTTCATTTCCACTTGCCAGTACCCACTGACAAGGTCTAAAGAACTAAAATAATGGGCACCTGCTAAAGAGTCTAATAACTCTTGAATTTGTAGAAGGGGGTAACTGTCTTTTACTGTGAACGAATTCAATTTGCGATAATCTACACAAAATCTAATTTTGTCTTCTCTTTTTACCAAAACCACAGAGGATGCCCAAGGGCTTTCAGATGTTTTAATAATTCCTTCATCTAATATTCGTGCTATCACAGTTTGCATAAGGTCACGTTCCTTGGGTGTATGCCGGTACGATCTCAATTTAACGGCTGGAGTGTTACCAGTATTTATTTAATGTTTAACTACGCTAGTGCGTCCTAATTCTTTGGACTCCCATGCAAATCCATGTTGATGCTCTTGTAGAAAATTCTCAAAATTTTCTTTAAACTCTTGGGTATATTTTCAATCTGATAACTAACGTTTGGATCTCTTTTTTCAAAATAAAAATCAAACAGGTCAATAATAGGTTTATTAGCTTCCTCGGCCAATAATGATACCACTTGTCGAGGGTCTTGTAGGGCGTATATAATTGCTGAATCATCACCACAACTCATATTAAAATCATTTTGACTTTTATTTAAAGGTGGAAGGGTACTAATCAATATTTCATCATCATCACTATTTTTATTAATTTCATCGTTAGTAATAAAAGAAATAAGGTCATCAGAAGAAGAAGAAATAGTGGATTGTACGTCCTTATACCAATAGTCATCTTCTGAATCCCAACTCATTAAAGGTTCTTCGTAAGGTTCAGATTTGTATAACATAGTAAATTCACTTAATGAAGAACTATCAAAATCGGAAATTCCATATATTCGGTCTTCAAGGCCTTCTTCTTCGAATTCATCCTCTTCATCAGTAATAGTTTCGGTTAACATATATTCATCCTCTTCATTTCTTTCCTTGATTTCTTTTATTTTAATAGGTCTTTTCTTTTCCAATAGCTCTTGAAGATGTTGGCGAAACTCAACTGGAATCGCTATCTCTTTTTCATCCCAAACAAATGACATTTCGGCCGCAGTCCAATCAATTCGAGCATTAACTTTAGACAACCAGTCGTTGCCTACAATTGCGTGATATGATGTTGTATCGGTTATGACTACGTCAATGGGAACTTTAACACCGCTGACTTCAAACAGAAAGTTGGAAATTTTTTCTAATGCTCGATTACTTTCTCTATGCACATTGATCATATTTACAGTGATTGGTCGTTCAATTTTTATCCCCAATTCCCTTAAAAAGT